ATTATTTTCCAAAATATGAATTCTAGGTATTTGTATCAGTCACTCCAACCAATGGACTTATAAGTGCAAACTACCTTTTAGAAAAGTAGTGTGAATGATGAAGTCACAAAGACAATGGCCAACAAGCACATGAAGAGGCACTTCTGGAACCTGGCCCCTACACGGTGTCTGCAATGCTGGATCTTCTCAGGCCCCAGTCTCTTGTGGTCTCTCTGTCTCCCCTCCTCCCTCCCTCCCTTAAAGTTTCTTTGCACATCAACAACTGGCCGCACTGAGTTCCAGATCACAAGACTTGCAAGGTCACCTCCTCTTTAGATAATGCCTTGATGGTCCATCTTGTCTCCAGGGCTTTTCCAGGAACCCCAGGCTCTGAGCAAAAAGCAGCTACCACCTGCATGGAGCATGCAGGCTGATGGAGATCCACTTTGCCATCAATCAAAATGTTTCCCCAAAGTACACAACATCACTGACCAATCAAAAGGAGACCATGAGCACTGTGGACCAATCAGCGACCTGCATGTGAGCTGAACATGCACCTGTCATGCCCCTAGCACCAGTCTCCTCATTAACTTCTCCAGGAGCTTAAGGATTCAGTGCTAGTTGCCTGCCTCCTGGCTCTGTGCTTGGCAAATAAATGCCCCTAGCGTCTGTGCTTAGCTTGTACCATCCGGTGAGTGGACCCAAGGTTTGGAGATTCTGTAACACTCCTTGGTTAACAGTTGTGGGAATGAACAAATATGAGAAGGCTATTGCTGCCACCACGGACTCAGAAGGCTGCCAACACCTTCAAAATCAAGCAGTATCACGTGTAAGTGGGAATGTAAGAACACAAGGATTCTCAGCCACTACACTGGCAGGATAAAGCAGTACAGTTTCCCTAGAGACAAGCTTTCCTTAAAGTCAATGAATATTTTAGGCATTGGGAACCACAAGGCAACAGCCCAGATACTGTATGAGCAGTTTCTTCCACAACCATCTAAAGTGCATAAATGGGGTGGGGGAGGTTGGTCAGTGGGTACCAAGTTACAGTCAAGGAGCAGCAGCAGCAGCATGTTCTGCATCCACTGCTCTCCTGAAGAGATAACGATACTGTACGTTTACTGTATATTTAATAAAACCTGGAAGATTTCAGATGTTTTCACCACAAAGAAGTGAGAAACACTTGAGGAGATAGATATGCTGACCTTGGTTTGAGCATGATGCAATTTACACCTGTACTGAAGTACCACCTGGTACACCACAAATACCTGCAATTTTTATGCATCAGTTAAAAGGAAAAAAATGTAAGATGTACCAACCATGCATAGATCACAGGCTGCAGTAACACAGGGACAGGTCAGATTTTGTATCTAAGTTTGCAGACACCTGGCACACAGCAATTTGGGTGGCATCCGGGACCAGGAAGTATCCTTTCTGATCCAGAAGCTCAAGACACTCACAAGAGCAGAGACTGGCACTGTGGCACGGTGAGTTAGGTGCTTCTTGTGAATCGGGCATCTCATACTAGAGTGAGGGTTCGAATCCCAGATTCCTGCTAATGTACCTGGGAAGGCAGTGGAAGATAGCTCAAGCACTTCCCACGTGGGAGATGCAGATGGAGTGACTGGCTCCTGGCTTTGGCCCAGTCCTGCCTGTTGCAGCCATCTGGGGAGTGAACCAGCAGATGGAAGAACCCTCTTTCTCTATTGCTCTTTTCATTAAATAAATACATAAAGAAATTCTCACATGAGTGGGCACAATAGCTAAATGTATTGCGGCATCAAGGATTAAAACATTGGAACATAATCTAAATACTCAACAGGAAGGGAAGTAATAAATATGGCATAATCAGTCAGTGTGCTATCATGTGAGTATGTACTACTGACCCAGTTAGCTTCATACGTATTATGATAGTAAGATATAAATAACAATATTTGGTGAACTCTGCAGACTATATGGAGAGTTTGACATCACATATTCTGAAAATTGCTGCTGCTATCGATTTGTAAGGAGGGAAACATATGAATAAATATCACTTGGCTTTGGCATGCAGTTTGGATTTACAAGGAGAGAAGTTATCCATAAGCCAGAAAACGGCCCCAGAAATGGCCAGAAGTGCTCTGGGGCAGTGCTTCCCAGACTGAAAGTACTAATGTTGATAGTCAAAATTTGTGGATGACAACCTTAAATTTAAATGCTATTTATTTTTCATAATACATGTACGTGTGGGAAGTCTCTGCAGAGACTCATTGATTTTTAAGATACACTTTTATGTTTCAACAACTCTGAAGTAGGAATGCACTTGTATTATCTATGTGTAGAGTTTGTATTTTGCCCTTAGTGTTACACAAAACAAGTCTTCTTATCATTGGAGCATGTTAAATCTAGTGAACTATAATGCAAGAACTGGAAGAGGGATTCATACTAAATTTGTCATGGTTGTTGCTTGGGTGAAGGGGTTGAAGGAAGGAAGAGAGAGACAGAATTGGTTCAGCTAAGGGCCAATGTGATGCCCTTGATCTATGATACCTGACTTACATAAATTAAAAATACATAAATCAATGTAACAATATATCGTTATAGCTTTAAACACACACACCATCTTATTTAAACTTAAAGGAGCTCAGTTTTGGTGATAGTTAAGATTATCCTCTTATAACCCTGGCAAAAACATCCTCAAAAACACACCATTAAGACCCAAGTACACGCCAATCTTGGAAACTAGGTGTGTTGGGCACTGCTATGGCTACTTTCAGATATAACAAAACATAGGGGTGAGGGAAGTTATGCAATTCTTCCAAACTCATGATTCTAGTAACAAGTAGAGCTAGAATTGAAGTCTACATTTCTGGACTTAATTCCTATCTTTGCACCATACAAATTGTTCTGATATGTAGACTTTTAAATTCTTATTAACAGATTAAAAACTGAAGGAAATAGCAAATGATTTCAGTTTTTAGTTTTAATTTATTATTATATCTGAGAATCACAATGGAAAGAATTTTGATAGGTAGTTTGTGTAAATACTTAGATTAGCAGGACAAAGAGGTGACAATAGAGCGGGTATGCCAGTTGTGCTCCCTGGATTCTGAAAGCTTCAGGTGGACCCCAGGAGTCCTTGGATGTACTTAGATATTCCATAATCAAAGCCATGCTTTTGGCCTATAAAGCAGGTTTAGACTGTCCAGGAAGATTACCCACCAGGTTTAATACTGTATTTCAGTATATGAATGATCTTAGAATGAATTTCAGTTCAAAAAATGTTATTTTACTTAGAGATTTACTAGGCTAGTTTTTCTTCCAGATTTTATATTTTGTGACTCTGACTTAAGAATCAAATCTACAACTAAGTATGAAAAGCCTGCAACAAAGAGAATAATTACACAGTTTTAATAGGAAAAATTAGATTAATTACTAGAAAACAATTAGAATGATTATTCATTTATATGGATGATTTCAGTCAAATCTACCCTGCATTTAGGCCTTCAATAGTCTCTAAGCTGTTTTAGTGTCAGAGTGACTTGAACACACAGTAGGTTTAATGCACACTAGCTGAATTCAGGAATGAAGGAAGGAAAGGGTAAGTGAATGAATGATTGACACAGTCCTAAAGGTCCTGGCTGAGAGGAGGCACAGATACCAGGGCTGAGTTTTGTACAAGCAATGGCAGTGCAAACCCGATCGACCCTGGAATCCAGATCTCCATTCCCACTGCCCCAATTTTTTTCTCTTTTGTGAATATTTGAAAAAGTTATGGCGTGGGAAAAATGCCATAACTATTTCTACTGTTTGAACCCACAACTTTCCACCACTTAACAACCTATCCTCATGAGGTTTTTGATGGGCACATCTGAGTTTTGAAAACCACTGTCAACATCAGATGCAACTTCTAAGTTAGCACATCTAGTTTCTCATGCACTCATTTAATTCATAGAAATCCAGAGCTGAGGGGCCTGAAGACATACTATGTCACTTGTTTTATTTTAGTGACTCTTACTGGTTTGACCTGACAGAGACATTTTCATGGACAATTCTAAGCTCCCTTATCTAGGAAAGCAGTAGATAGTTGCAAGATTACAGTTTTTGAGACCAGAGAGATGTGGGAACATTCTGGCTCTCACACTTACACTTGGTGGACATCAGGCAGATAACTACACTCCTGGATTCTCAGTTGTATCATCTGTTATTTGGGAATACTACCTAACTTGGTTGTTCTAAGGATTAGGAATAAAATTGTAGGACAGTTTGTCAGTCAACAAATGGAATTTATTACATATTTAGCTGTTTCTAATTCATGTGTTCCTGAAAAGGGCAATATTTGGGTACTTGTAACTTCTAACATAATATTAGAGTCCATGTGAGTACATCCATTATTTGGAGATGTACATCTGGTATTAGAAAAATCAGAGTTATATCCCTTCTCCACAACTTTCTGGTTTTTAGCAAAAATCTGCTTGTGTGACAGAAGTTCATCTTCCTAGATTTCAGTCTTTTGTTCCCTTGTGCTTTTACAGTAAAGTGGCGATGTTTCGTTTTCTCCCGTGTGCTTCTGCAGTCACACATTGCACAAAAACACTGTGCTGATTTTTAATTAACTCACTGTACCTTGAGGTCTCCAGCTTCTGTCTTCAGTTTAATTACAGTTGTGAAGAGGATATGGCGAAATTGCAGAGAACATCTCTACATGATAAAAAATGATAAAATAGTTCTGCTTTGATCCTTCGATCATCTAAGCATGCATGCTTTGGGATAGTTAAATTGGTATGTGATTGTGGGAATCTCATTTTGTTGTGTCTTTTCCTGCAACACCTGTACCTGGCAGAGGCAAGTTTAACTGAGTAAATCTGAAATCTAGTTAACTTGATTTGTAGAAAGTTGGAATTTAAGAGGTTTTATCCAACCAGACTGTGCTGCATTTGCCCCTTGGCTCTCATTTGAAAGTTGACACTTGGCCAAATACCTGTTGATGTGTATCTCAGTCTGAATTTCAAGATATAATTGAAAAGAAATGCTGAACTCACCAGCGTGGCGAAGAGATGATAGAGAATGAAATAGATGGCAACCACAGGTGCCCACATGTGCCCCACAGCGTTTAGTGTCTGGTCCATTACATCCACCCATCCTTCCTGGGTGAGGATCTGGAACATGGACATAAATGCCTACGGAGGAAGAAAATGGAAAAAAACAGCTTTAGGCTTGCATTCAATTTAAAATTAGTTTATGGTGTTTGAGGACTGACCTCAAAATTACTATCACATGAGTGATCAGAGATTAGTATTGCGTCAACAGATGGGAAAGAGTGGAGAACAAACATCTTAAAAGTGTTATATCTAGGGGCTGGCACTATGGCCCAGTAGGTTAACACCCTGTCCTGAAGTGCTGGCATCCCATATGGGCGCCAGTTCTAGTCCCAGCTGCTCCTCTTCCAATCCAGCTCTCTGCTATGGCCTGGGAAAGCAGTAGAAGATGGTCCAAGTCCTTGGGCCTCTGCACCCATGTGGGAGACCTGGAAGAAGCTCCTGGCTCCTGGCTCCTGGCTTCAGTACGGCGCAGCTCCGGCCACTGCGGCCATCTGGGGAGCAAACCAGTGGATAGAAGACCTCTCTCTCTCTGTCTCTACCTCTCTCTGTAACTCTTTCAAATCAAATAAAATAAATCTTAAAAAAAATAAAGTGTTATATATAACTATTTGGTGTGGAACACTAAAATAATCACCCTGAATTAATATTAGACTTCCTGGTAACTACTGCTGAGCAAATTAGAAAAACAAAAACAAAAATACTCAGAATCTTCATTTGCCTTCCAGTTTTTATCCTTCCAACAAGCCTACAGTTAATATTTCTAAGATAACTTTTTATTTTTTGCTGCTGCAACTAAGAGAAATAAATTTCTATAATCAGATACATTTGATTATCTAAAGCATATAAGAAAATGTCTTAATATTTATTTTTTCAGTACCTACCTACCAAATTATTTCAGTTATCATATTAAAAACATGTGACTCTTTAAATAAAAAAGAATTATCTCTAAATGATATTGCCATGCACAGCAACTTAGTACAAACACATTTTTTCACGATTTCTAAAAAGTTTTCAAGGCACAGAGTCAAGAGCAGGGAAGAAGCCAAGAACTAAAAAAATTAGAGCATTCCAATAGAAGTGAAGCTAAAGAGCTCCTGCTCTCTGTAGTCCCCTGTTTACATGTTGTTCTAGTTACATATATGACTATATGTCTGTCTCCCTGACTCATGTATCCTGTGAATATCCGTGGCCAATAGTTGCTTCTTAGTGATACTTTACAACAATGTCCAGAGTAAGTTGACATTTGGAGCCTAGTGACTCTTTTAAAAGTCTTTCATCTTCAGTGCATTGAAATCATAAATTGAATGAACAGGTATTGAGATTCCAAGAAAATAAAGTCCAGGTTAATAGAAAGGTGGACTGAGCTCAAGATAAAAGCCCTGCGACACTGATAGGATCTTAGAGCCAAATGGGGTCCTCAAGATAAGCTAATCAGGATTCTTTCTCTTTGAAGATAAGAAAATGAGGCTCAAGATAAGTGATTAGCCCAAAGTCACTCCATCAGTTTGTGCCTCCAACAGAAATAGCACCCTGGCACTCTGGCTCTAAAATAAGTACTTTCCAAGTGGTAGCATCCTGTGTTCAGTGGAGTCTTGGATTTTCCACTTCCTAGGCCTAGTCACAAAGCAATCTCTTAGCATCTTGCCTTTTTCAAGGACAATTAACTTTTTTAGAAGTACAGCTCCCACTGCTCAGAACATAGTGGTCCCATGAGACTAGGGAGCAATTTATTATTATTGGAATCTTGAACTAGCAGATATGTTTTGCCACTTAAACTTTGTCCATGTGTGAAGCACTTCACTTCTCCTGGAGTTAATCTTCCATAACCTCACTATCCTTGAGAATGCTTTGTTCATAAAAGGATGAAACACGCTGTTTCTGATACTTGACTGCTTTGTCACCAATAGCAGTACAATAATCTCCTTGCCAGGGTGCCTAAAACGAAGGCAACTCACCAGAAACATTCTATAAATGCTTGAATTTTTTTTAACACATCATATAATAGCCTAGGTATGCCAGAATTCATCATTGAGGGAATTACTTGTCCCCTGTTTCTGTTTTCTCTTGAATATTTATCACATCCAAAGGCAAGGAACCCAAGTTCTAAAAGCGATTCACTGGGCCGGCACTGTGGCGCAGCGGGTTAAAGCCTTGACCTGAAGTGCCGGCATCCCATATGGGCAATGACTGAAGTCCCAGCTGCTCCACTTCTGATCCAGCTCCCTGCTGATGTGCCTGGGAAAGCAGCAGAGGATGGCTCAAGTGCTTGGCCCCTGCACCCACATAGGAGACTTGGAACAAGCTCCTGGCTTCAAGGCTGTTGTAGTCATTTGGGGACTGAATCAGCAGATTCAAATAAATGAATCTTTAAAAAAAATTAAGTGATTCACACACAAGAATACCACATTGCTGTTATTTTGACAAAGATGTCACCAGTGCAAAAGCATGGCTTATACATCCTAAAGATTCAACTGTAACAGGTGAAGAGTCAAAATATCCACCACTGTAAACTCAACAGAATGTGACTGGACATGGCTTTCTTTCCCCAAAAGTGACAGAAAAGCAGGTGATTCAGCCCAACATTCTTAGTACTTAGAGACCAAAAACTCAGGTGTACCTTTCAGCTGTCTTGAGTCCAAACCAAATTGATTTGTTTGCATTCACTGTATTACCTTTCATGAATACTCAGCTATTTTGTGTTCATTAAATGCTCAGGACTGAGGGGCTATGGGATGCTAATCTGTTGCTGTGAGATAAGCAGTGTGGACAAGAAAATGTGTTAGCGTCTACTCTTTTCAGAATCTGAGAAGGAAAAAAAAATCAAATTTCCACACAGCCCAACCACCTGAAAGCTCATATTTTAGATGCTGTGAATTATATTTTAGAGCAAAGCTTTGTATTACGATGGGATTTGTGTGTTTATAGCTGCTTACATGAATAAATCAACGAGACAGTGCCATTAAATACTTTTATTGGAAACTAAAAATTAATTTGTCTCTTGCTTGAAGGGTGCTTAGGTTTTGTTGCTATATTATCCAGAAATTTAAATTCAATTAACATTTGAGATTGTGAATCAAGTACTCTTACTGACTTATACAAGTATTGTGTATTAGATCTGTTTTCCTTGAGGAACCTGCTTAGCTTTATCCAAACAAGCATTATTAAAATCTACTACAAGTTTGATGTGTTGGTATTGAGATCAGTAAAGAAATTTATTATCAGGAAGGACAGGAAAAGATGTACATGGCCAGCTCTAAAAAAAAGAAAAGCATGGTGCATTGAAGAAGAAGAAAAAAAAGCATGGTGCATTGGTGAGTTACCCAGGAGGTACTTGGAAGGACCAGTTTGTTCCTCTTGGGTGTCAAGAACAACTTTGGGAAAATGCTTGGCAATTGACTTTTTGCAATAAAGATGAGCAGGTTTTCAGCACTGGAGTGGGCTGTGGTGAACAAAGGCCCAGCACAGGCTATTTCTTTTCTCTGTACCACCTCTTCATGTAGTATCTTGTTATCCTACCCTGTCGATCTTCTTTTTCCTTATGGTTTCAACCAACTTTTTATAAACTAGGAACACCAATATCTTATCTGTAGTATATGTTTAACATAGTTTTCCCTACCCATTTATGATATGTTTTCAAAATAAAATTTAAATTTCTGTGTGGTAAAATTCTTTTATTTTATTTAAATAACTTGTTTTACTGCAGGGGGTGGGCAGAGTGGGGCATGGGAGGGAGCACACACAAGCAAGTGTAAGAAAGAGAGCGTGTTCCCATATACTGGTTCACTCCCTAAGTGCCCACAACAGCTATCTAGACGGGGCTGGAATCAGCAGACAGCAACTCAATTCATCCTCCCATGGAGGTGGAATCCAATGACTTGAGCTATCACTGTCACCTGCTAGGGTCTGTATTAACAGGAAGCTGTAGTCAGGAGTCAGGGCTGGATAGCCAACCCAGGTACCCCCATATAGGATTCTCATGTTAATCTGCTATCAACACAAAGAGAACAGATTCATTGTAGCTTGAAGATACTATTCTAAGACTAACGTTTCCCTTTCTTACTCCCTTCATTCCTTCCTCTTTCTCTCCCTCTGCCTTTTTCTTCCCAGCTGTTAAGACAACATTTTAAATTAACATGATAGTCAAAGCTTTAATAACCCACTAACTAAAGAGTTCACCAAGTAAAAAGAACTATTCAGTGGGAATATACGCAAGGGCTACAAACCCTAATCAAGTGACCTCTTCACCAGTGTCCTAACCACTAGGCCAAATATCCATCCCCATCTACAACTTCATGAGTCTAAACAAAGAATTGTTATATAGTTGTGCACATCTCTTGTTATGATCAATGTTATTATTTTTCAAAGTCTTAATCTTAAGTTGTTATGATACAGTTGAAACATTAAGTAGTAAAGAACCCTTACCAACTGTCTTAGACCTAAGTATGCTGGTTTTACTTTCTTGTGGCCACCACTTTTTTTGTGCTTCACTTGTAGTGGTTCCATCCATAGCCCTACTGGGTATTTCTAGATTTTCTCCTTAGATGTGGACTTCTGCTCTGATATATGAAGATTTAATTCAGGCATAACATCACTCCCCCCCCCCCCGCCCCCTGCTTATCTTGACCACTCCCAAATTGTATATACAAATCTGTTTCTTACTGCAATGCACTAGAAGGGCTGATGCCTCACTGTGGATGGTGAAGGTATTAGCACTTCCGCCCATCCTGTTCCCTCCTGTCCACTTTCACTTTCCACCCTCCACGTGTACATTTACATCTCAAGTCTGACAATACTTACACCCTGGTTTTCCATAATTAGGCTTTCCATCCATCTCAGCAAGTTGATAATCAATACACAGGAAGATTTCTATGACAACACTACTCACAGTTGAGCAAGGTCATGTTTCAAAATAATACTTCCTCCTCTGACCTCCGATATGAGGACATACACATTTAGAGAAGGGAAATATTCAAGGATAAATGGATTCCCTTCTTTAAGTGTCCCGAAATGGGCCCAGTTTGGTTTGCATTATTTGAATCTTAGCTTTCTTATACAACTTTTGATTTTATTTTTTGGGA